AGGCAGGGGGCACTGGGCTGGGGCCCCGGGTGGCCCTCCCTGGCCAGTCAGCCTTTGCCAAATACGTCCTCCCCTGCCTTGCCCTGCCCTGCCCTGCCCTGCCCTTGCCCGGAGCCTCACGCACGCCAGCCTCACGCACTCCAGAATCCGAATTCTCTCCACCAGGCTTATTGGCTCCTCGGCTGATTTTACCCCCTTGGGAGGTGTCCAAGAACAAGGGGTCTGCAGGATGTGGAGATGGTTCCCAGTGAGCACCCTCTATGCCCTGATCAGGCTGGTGAGGTAGCAGGTCTGGCTGCAAGGCCGAGCGCCGCCTTTCCACCAAGCCCCTTTCGGACCTCAGGGCCTGGGCTGGCCAGGGTAGCACGGCCTCCCCCAGCAACCACACGGGGCCCAAAGAGGCCTGCAGAATTCCAGCTGGGCCGGGCAGATATCCGAGCGAGCGGCTCCAACTCAGAAGGGAAGCGGAGGAAGGAGGGGCTCGGTGCAGAGAGGAGATGGAGTGGAGCGATAAATCTGGGGCTCCCCTCCCCCCGGAAGTCTCTCGTGCCGGGGCTGCTGAAGGGTTCTGGGGCGCTGCAGGTTGCGAAGAGCAAAGTCGCTGTCGGCCTGCTTAATTGATGTCCGTTGGAGCTGGGGCGCTGCCAGCTTGTGTTGGCTGCGCTCCAGCATTCTGTAATTTCGGAGCCAGGTGTGAAGCGATGTCTGTTCCGTCTTGTTCCCAAGCACCTACAGAAGCCTCCTGCGTCCCACTGGGGGCTGAAGCCTCCAGGAAGGAAGCAGCTGTGCAGGTAGACAGGGAAAGGAAGTCGCCCGGCAGCAACGGAGCGCTTCTTGCTGGGGACGGGAAGGGGCGCCCCTTGTGCAGCCCCATCCAGGTGTGATGACACAATGCTGCCTTCCTGCCAGGGGGCACCTGGAGCTCCACCAGGCCAGCACCTGCAAGAGGAAAGCGTCTTCTGTGCTTTGGGGGATCCCAGCCTTGGGCACCCACAGCAAGAAGAGGGCCCTGGCAAGAGAAGAAGGGGCACGGCCTCTAGGGAACTTCCAGGTTAGGCCCGTGGCCCCCAGCCAGTAGAGAGGGCCTTTCCCCCTGCAAACCCCTCCGCCCTTGGCCAGCGGGATGGAAGCCTTGATGGAAAGGGCAGCAGGAATCAGCCCACCTCCTCCCTCGCCACAGCTCCTGGATTAGGAGCCTGTCCTGGGGGGAACAGGAGTGGCCGTCAGCCTCGGGGGCCTTGGACTCTCTTTCAGCCCTCTTTCCTGCTGGCCTGGCAGATCCAAAGAGGCCCTTGTGGAAGCGACCCGCGCAGAACTGCTCCAGGCAGGCCAGATGGTGTCTGACGTGGGGAGAACGATGGGGCTGTCCACAAAGAGGGAAGGGCAGCCCGGTCTCCAACTTCATTGCTGCCGGGGCCCCCTGGGGCAGGCCCTCTGTTTGCGGAGGAGACCAGGCCCCTCTGCTGCCCCATTAATCTAGTTCTGGGGTTCTCAGCGCTCGTCCTAAACGCAAGCAGGTAAAATCCTCAGCTAACAAAACCAAGCTCTGGATTTGGACTGACGAAGCTCAGTCCCTCAGACTACCCGGGAGTCTTCAGCTGTGGTACCGAAAGGATCAATAACCTCAGGCGGAAAGTGGGACCTGCCTGTTTTCCCAACTCCCCGCCGGCCGTCCCGTCCCAAGCAAGAACATTCGGTTCTCCGTGGTCTGTTTGGTGGTCCCTTTTCTCTCTGTAGAAGCTTCTGGCATCTTCAAATATCAGGGTCCTCCCTTCCCACCCAAAAAGGGAGGAATTGTTTGTGGGAACTCCCCCTTATGCGTGCAGGGTGCTTTTCTGGCAATTTACGCAACGGCAGTCTCAGCTGAACATCAGAAGTAGATGTGTGGCAGGAATGCAATGTTTTTTTAATTTATCAAACCACCCAGTGAAAAATATTGCCATCAGCTAAAAAACACAATTAAGAAATAAACGCACGTCATGATAGAAAGCAGAAGGCTCCATCTTAGACGAGGCCTTCCCCAACCACTCTTGGATACAACAGGCAAAGGCCTCCTTTGTGCTCCTGGTGATCATTTCTTGCTTCTTTCTCCAAAAGTGCGTTTTTATTCATGGGCCCCAGCACAGAGGTTGAGCAATGGGGGACCCTTTCTGTATTCTGGGAAGTGAAAGCGAAGGGGAGTCTGATGTTGCAGGAGGAGTCTCCTGCCCCCCTTCTTCCCTTTCGACCCCCTGCTGGGGTTCGGCCTGCTGTGAAATGTCGTTGCAGCCTCGGTTCTGGCAGGAGCCGTCTTGGTCAGAGGCCGCTGTGGAGGCGATGGTCTAGCCCGGCCGCTTGGCTCCCCAGCCTTCCGCCCAGCTCTTGCGGGCAAGGCTGCCTGCTCCTGAACAAGGACCGGATGACCAGGGCAGTTCAGCTGGAGCCCTGCGTTGCAGACTCCGTCTCCCGAGCCGGGGAGGGCAGGGGGAGCGCCGGGTGGAAGCTGCAGAGGCACCCCTGTCCTTCTCCCTGGGGCAGGGAGGGACGGGCAGCCGGGAAGGGAGGCTGAGGCCGGGGCAGCCCCAGGGCGTGTGAAGCCCAGCCTGGGCTCAGAGGAAGCCGTGCCCGCCTGGCCGCGGATGCCCGTCCTCGGGTCCCTGAGAGCTCTGGGCTCCCCCCCTCCCCTGCCCCGCTTCCCCTTTGGGTCCCATCCTGCTCGGCACTGTCTGGGGAGGAGCTGGCGGCCAGCCAGGTGTCGTCCCTCGCGGCAGTGCCCTGCCATTGGAGGGGAGCGGGAGGGGAGCAGATAAGATCAGCCGCTTGAGGTGATGGCACCGTTTCAAATAAGCCAGGCATGACCCAAAGCTCCTACTTCAAATGGGGAATGAAATTGCTTCATCCGTTTGACAGCTTGCTCCATGAAACAAAATTTATCTTCTCTTAATTGCCTCGGATCCTGCAAGGCTGCGTGCAGTAATTCCGAGGAGATAATTACCTCAAATTAAAAAAATATGCAGCTCCGCGTCGCGCCTCCAAGGGCCGAGCTGGCGGCCGTGGCCAGAGGTGCCCCCCGAGAGTTAGCAGAGCAAGGGGGCTCTTCCAGTCTCGGGAGCCGACCGGCCTCCAGCCCTTGCCACACGGGCAGGCGAGGGGCCCTGGCCCCTCCCGTGCCCCCTTTCCTGGGTCTGCTGAGGTGTGAGCTGGAGAGCGTCTCTGTGCACCCGGCTCCTTCGGCATCCTCCGGGGCGTTGCGGGCCAGGGGAGGCTTCGGGGAGGGGGGAACGGTTCCCGGTGCCAGGAGCAAGCGGCTGCGGCCGATCTCTTCCCTCTTCAGGGTGGCGGAGTCTCCCCCAACCCTCGCCTGCCCACGATGGCAGAGAATTCCCATCCCTGAGCCTGAGAAGCGCCCAGCTCTCACCGCCACATCTCACGAGCTGTCT